GGCCATCGGCGAAGAAACTGCCCAGAGCCAACTTCTGCCTGATGGACTCCCGCTCATTCTTCTGGGCCTGAAAGGGAAAGGCGACGAGAAAGGATGAAGCTCCAGGGAGGAGAGTTCGCACCGGCCGAGTATCCCCCTCAAGGTGTTGCCCACCCTTGGGTGGACCACAGAGCCCAGCCCTAAAGGGAAGCCCACCTGCACCTCCATCTCTCTCTCCCCACATATTGATAGATATCCATCTCTACACACACATACACCTGATGTGCCCCTAATCCATCTATTTATATCTGCACCTATAGCCATACACAGCCACCGAAACCACGCTCGCCCCATCAGCATCCTCCGCTTCCCCGAGCAGCCTCCAAACCCACACGATCCTTCTTCCCTCGACATGCTTGGAGATGTATTTTTAACCGCTGCCATCAAATTATCCACAGCTTTAAAAAATGCATTTTCACACGTTTTATTTTTCTTTTAAATAAAGGCCGGCTGCCGAGGGGTTTAAAGTTAATCACCGATCGATGGCTTTCAGAGATGTCTGTGTAAAATAATCGATGTGCAATAAATAAAAAATCACAGATCTAGATTCAAAATTAGTACCAGTGCTGTCCCGGTGTCTGTCACTAATGGATTATGTGCCAATGCTGACAACCAATTCATACAAGGCAACAACGTATTGATAGAAAGAACATTTGAAGCCCACAAACATGTCATATTAAAATAACACATAATACCCGATCAGGAATACACAGGAAAAGGAAACAGCAGGCAAGCACGGGCTCCTTCCGCGTTGTTAATTAATACAGCTGTGCTTCCCATATTTCACTAAGTAAAAATAAAGCACCTTTTTTGATACAAGGAACCGAGATGTAACAGAATGCATATTATTAACTTAAAATAGCTAACGATTTAATTCCAACTCCGGCGCTAACTACACACATTACGTTATCACACTGTCCATTATATTGTCAATCCCATACCAAAAGGCACACCTCATCTGTAGTCCAACTCCTTTTACAGAAAAATATTTGAAATATTAGAGAGAACTCCCACGGCGTCAAATGGTATCGACTTTTTGGGTTCAGCTTTCCGAGGTTCCACCAGACCACCCAGACATCTTTTTCTACTTTTTTTCAGGTTTCAATAATCGATGCCTCGATCACACGAATTAGATTAGAAGAAAAATAAGCAGAAGCGAGCGAGAAATATTTTGGGGAGGAGTGCAAGCCGAGACAGAGTCGGTTCCTCGCGCCGCCCATCTGGCGATGCTCGCCGGCGTTGCCCTCGCCACGTCCCTCAAGCACATCAATATTTCACGAAGGCGCCGAGACTTAGCCAGCCCGTTTTTCCAACTCGGGTGATCCTCTCCCACATCTTCCCGTCCGCTCCTGCTTCTCCTCGTGTTCTGACAGAAATCCCGCAGCACATCTCCACCAACCCGGCTGGGACCGCTCCCCACCCCAGCAGCATCCCTCCTTACTCCGTGTGTGCTGAAAACTGCTCTTCTTTGCATTAAAATACACAGAAACTCAGGCACACTTTCCCTTATTCACCCCTTTCAGATGGGGCTGTCTGTAAAGATAATTTTTTTAAATTTTGCTTCCGTTCGACAGCTGCACATTTAATCAACATTCAATTATTTTTCTCCACCAGGTCACTCCTGAGGATGCTAAATATCACCACTCCCAGGACTGGGCTCAGAATGTCCCGTTATAAACCAGACACTAATGCCCACAAAGAAATCAAGAGACCTATTTGTTATTATAAACCAGGGACTAGTTACTAAGAAATAGAATATACCTAAGGGACCTGGACTTTAAGCTTCAGATAAATCACTCCACAGCTGTAGTATATATCCTGAGCTAGGGACTGAAAACCATAAACCAAGAGGGAAAATTGCAAGTGGTTTTTTGACTATCAAATATACTTACTTGGTATATAAAAAAATAACAGATCAAACATGCAAAATGCAAAGGCAGCGGCAAGAAAACCGTAAACAGGTGTTTAATTTAAATGTGTATTTTGACACTGAATCGAAAACTATGTATTTCTGAAAGAGGGGACCGGTGTGGAGCTGAAGTCTGGGTCAGAAAATTTTATATAAAAAAAAAAAAAGCAGCCTTTTGGTTTTTTGGGGTGGATGTTTTCCTTCTCGCCGCTGACCTTCCAATTCGGAAGGGCAGTCGGTACCTTTGTTTTCTGCACCCGAACACAAACACAATGCCAGAGTCTGGCCGGGACTGCCTCACACGTCAAACGCTTTTCCGTCCCAGCGGCGGCAAATTGCCAGCAGAGGTTCAGCCTTTCCCCGCGGCCGACTCAGCAATTTTGGTTAATTATCGCTGTTTACATACATATCCCAATCACCTCCATGGCGGTTTGCGGATCACACGCGACCGTTTGCGCTCTTCGCCACCTGTGCCTGCACCCAGTCAGTCCCCTACACCAAAAAACCCCTTATTTTTGCTGAATTTAACCCACACATGCCTTCTCCCCACACAATCCCACCCCCGGGGGCATGAGGAGCTCTCACCAATATTGGGGGCTACCCCTGACCCCCCTCGATGGGGGATGGAGAGCAGACACCCAGGCAGCAGGCACCAGATTTCTGCAGTTTTCTGGGAAAACGAGCAAAGCCCGTACTACGTTATTTAAATAACCAGAGAAGTAGCAGCAGGACTGCTGCTTTCACCACGCGCCACTCCTGATATTTAACTTTATTCCTTACAGACATCACCCAAAACAGCACAGAAAATCGCACGTAGAAGCATTGAGGCTCCTCGTCATGCCGGTGGGTGCTGGGGTCACCCACCCATAACAAAACCGGTGCGGAGCCCTTGGCTAGCCCCGGGACACAGCCAGGCCACCAAGGCTATTTTTGCCAGAGGCTGTCATTACCAACCACGGACAATTACTATATTTAAAGTTCCAGACCCATAGGCAGCGCCTTATTTTATCTCCGTAAAGTACAAGGGCTATTCTTGGATTCACAAAACAGAAATCGCCGCCACTGAACGGTTGCTTTTATATCCTTTTTCTTCATGCTGGTAAACGCAGAAAGAAAAAAACAAACCCAAACGCCAACTCAAACACGCGTATCTCAAGCCACGTGGCAAATTGCCTTAAAAACTTGGGGTCTTGAGGTATGAGAAACATCTCTCCATGTTTTCTTTACCATAAAGTGATATGGAAATGTAGCAAAAGGAGGGTTTGCTGGCTCCTTATACGTTGCTGAGCGCTCCCCTGCTCTGGCACCCATCACCCATCACCCGGAGGGGATGTTGGGCAACATTTCGCTGGGTGCCCCCCCCACTGCCAAGAAGCCATCGAAAGGCTCCTTTCGGTTCGGTCCCTTACCTTTTTGGACCTCCCCTCGCCGGCCGGCGCGGCTGCTTTCCTGATGACGTCACCCATGCCATCACCCTCCCGACTCATCTCCTTCGCTGCCGGGTCCTCACGTGGCCGGTGAAACGCTCCCGCCGGGGCATCTCAGTCCTTCCTCTGCTCTTCAGTCGGCACCATGGGATCAAAAGCTCGTCCCCGGA